TATTTTTTTCCATATCGAGCCGATAGGGGTAGAAAAGTCAAAGGATTCGCAAAATTTTCTCCAACCTAATATTTTCTGTTTGCGTAGTGTAAGTTTGGTGATTGCGTCTTGTTTTTTTAATGCTATGTAGTTTTGATATGAGGGGCGATGTCGAAAAGTATTGGTGGCTTTCCTCCTCAGCGCAACCGCTCTGGAACAAGCTTCGTTCCACCAAGGAGCTGGTGGATATCTCTTGCTGGACTTCTTTCCTTGGGTGGTCTCTTCTGAGTGGGGTGAAGATTGTGTGGGGAGGCCTCTCGTATTGCGTTCATAATATGCTCTATTAATGTGTCATATTGCTGAGTACACGGCATATCTTCCGTTGAGGAGAGTATTGACTCTTCATTTTGCATAAGATAGTCATTGAATGTGATCCAGTCGATTTTGGATGAGTTAATTTTGTATTTAAAACGAGCGAATTTTTCTGGTATGAAATTTAACGAAGTAGAAATAGGGTGATGATCGCTTCCCATTCTGTCGGATAAAACCTCCCAGGAGGCGTTGATGGCGATGTTGGATGATACTAGCGTAAGATCTATGGCTGAGGAGTTTTCTCCCGGTCGGGTAAGTTTTGTTGGTTTACCGTCGTTGAGAATCATGAAGTTCGAGTCGGCTAGCGCTTCAAGAAGGTTTGATCCTGGGGCGCAATCCACATCGCACCCCCAAGCTTGGTGGTGGCAGTTGAAGTCTCTGGCTATTATAATGGAGTGTGCTTGAAGAAACAGGTCTAGGAGGTTCTTCCACACCATTGAAGGGACTGGATCACTTGGTTTTTTATAAAGGTTAATGACGATCAATTCGCCCTGACTTGAAGGAATTGCGATACCTTGGAGGTCGAGATTTTCTGAGATGTCTTGAATATCGATGGGTTTGTATGTCAGGTTTTCCTTGAGGGCAACGAGGATGCCTCCGCCCCTTTCCCCAATACGGTCTTTTCTGACCAGATTGAATCCTGGTATTTTAATGTTTTTATCAGGCTTTGAGAAGGTTTCACATAAAAGTAGAATATCAAATTTACTGGCGATGAGTTGAAGATCACCTAGTTTATTTAGAAGACTGTGCGTTCCATTGCAAGATGCGAAGGGGAGGAGAAGCAGAACTATCTGTCATGTGAGGATTAAATCATTGATGAGGTTGGAGAAATGAAGGAGAAAAATGAATGAGCAAGAAGGAGGTTACTTCTGTGGGGAGGGAGGTGGAAGAGCCGGGAGAGGGGAATTATTAGGGAGTTCATTATTGTTGGTGACTGTATTGAAGGATTGAACTAGATTAGAGAGTTGTCCATTGAGAGAGAGCGCTGACATGAGAGGAGCCAGCTTCTCCGTGAAAATTGATAAGAATTCTTTAAGTTGGTATAGGACAATTTGAAGATCAGCTGTGGTTTTTTCCATATTGGCAACTGAGGCGTTATGAAGCACTTGAGGGGAGGGTTTTTGACGAATATTGAGGAATTGATTAAGATTGGTGTATTCAAGGTGTGGTGGGGTAGGAGGAGATTGTTGAGGAGCTTCTCTCGGTTTAGCTAGGGAGGAGGAAGGTTTTGTGGAATGAGTGAATGCGGAAGGAGATGGGTTTGTTTGAAAAGGGTAGAAAGGGGGATGCTTAGAAGGGGACCTAGGGAGACTGGGGCTGAAGGGAAGAGGGTTTCGTTTAAGGGAACTTTTAACTGTGAGTGGAGGACTTAGTTTAGAACCTTGAGGTATTTTATTGGAAGATTGGGGATTGACCGAATTGAGGTTTTGGGTGATGGATGAGCTATGGTGAGCTGGAGAATTACGTGAGGAGACTGGGTGGCGAATTGAAATGTTGTTGTTGATGGGGGGGAAGTTCTCTGGGTTGAGGGTAGGTGAAGGAGGCGGTGGGGAAGAAGGAGGAGGGGAAAATGATCTCTCGTGCAAAATCTTCATTGCCTCCCGATAAGAAATTCCCTCTACAGCAGCTAAGTAGTGGATGTTTCTTTGGTGAATTAAAACTGGACAGTTGTCTGATTTGGATGTGTGTTGGTTTTTGCAATTGATGCATTTGGGAGGCAAGTTGGAATTTGGACAAGGAAGACCGACGTCATGGTTTTGAGCAGCACAGTGATTACAGGTAGAAGGGGACTGGCATTGGTTTCTGGAGTGACCAAATCTCAGGCAATTACCACATCTTTTAACTTGTGGAATATAGGGGTAGACTACTAGGCGAGTGTGCCAGAGAGTGATGAATTTGGGTAGATCTTGCCCTTCGAAGACAAGTAAAATCGACTGGGTGGGTGTGTGGTGAGGGGTATCATCGATTTTATGGAAGCGATTCAATCTGGTGGCTGATGTGATTTTAACAGGAGATATAATTTCTTCAATTAATTCTTCAGGGGAGTATTCGTGGGGAACGCCTTTGATAATTCCTTGTCTGATTGTTTTATACTGAGGGATGTAGGCAATTAGTTTGCTGTCCTGGAGGAGTTTGCGGTTGATTATTGAATTGGCCACCGGAGCATTATTGAATGTAATCAGAATTTTATGATCGATTTTTTTTGACTCGAAAGCATCATTGGGATAGTTTAATTCCTTTTGGATTTTGGCTACGATTTTGCCCACTGTCAGTTGGTTGGGGGGTTTCCAATTCTCTTGGGAAGGATCACTATCAAAAATAACATCATACTTGCCTCCTTGGGAAGTAATAGAGTATCTGTTATTTAGGATTTCTGGGGGAATAGGTTTAGGCTTGAAGGGTTTCTTGATTTTCTGAGGAGAGGATTCATTGATACCATGGGAGGATTGAGATTGTTGAGTCGTTGGGGATTCAAGTGAGTTTGAGGTTAGACTAACTCTGGGGTGTGTAGTTTCCGTACTGGGTTTCTGGAATTTAGCAGGATTGTTAGAATTTGGCGACTCACGGTTTCTTTTTTTGTTGATTTTTTCTTGGGAGTTTACAGGTGAGTGATGGGAGAAGGAGGAGAGAGAGGAGTTGTTGTTGGAGCTTGGGTCTTGATAAGATTCATTTTGCGGAACTAGGTTATGAATTTGATCAGACTGAACAGAGTCAAGAGGAACTTCATTGTCTACGAGCATAATTTCAATTGATTCTACGGGAGAGAGCACTTCATTGAAGTTTTGTTCTGAATCGGAATCGTTTTCTAGATCCATTTGGCCTGAATTATGAACTGAATCTTGAGACATAGGGGTGAGTTAGAAGTTTAGGTGAGGTTGGGTTGGGAAGGTGGATGTTTGGCGCCACGCGGGGCATTGGATCGCCTGTGGCGATTAGGTGAGGTTATTTTCACTTTTTTAGGAGACGTGATTTTAACCGCTTTAGATGTGAATTTGAACAACAATAATGATGAAATAATCACATACGAAAGGGCCTGAAAAATTTAAGTACCACCACTTATTTGAATACACTGTACTGTGGTGGGATTGCACGGATTCGAGAGAGCGGTATTACACGAGGTGTTACTCCGGCTGCGGACGAAACCAATAGAAATCCCTCCGCCTCACCTCCTACATTTCCTCCTCCCTGATTATCCTTAATTTTGTTGAATCAATTTTTTGTTGGCTATGCAAGGTTCTGAACCATAAACATCTGGGATTCCAAGAAAACTTGATCCAGGGATCTCTGAGACTTCCCGTTGTTAGAAGGTGACGCGCTCGAAAATTCAAAAACAAAATTCACGGTCTCACTACGAGCAACTCCGAAAGATTACACTGATTACAGATGATTACCATCATATGATTATAATGATTACATTGATTTCACTGGGATTACAATTGCTTACATCAGCGAATGACACCACGATTACGTCTGTGTATAGCCCCTCGGTTGGGCTTTCAAAACCCGGCTGGGTAGAATGATGAGATCTAACCATTTAAAGTCTTGATCACTATCGCAGCATACCCCAACCGGGTCGAAGCGATGTAAAACAACGATTAAAAAAAATATTCAAAATCACGTGAAATCGTTTGAAATCAATGAAATCACCGAAATCATTGGCGCACTGGCGTAATCCGAACCGTGCAAGTAATTCGTAATTTTGAAATTGACACACCTGCAACGACGACAATAAAATGCCGAACTCGACACCATACTATTATAAAATGGTAAAATGGACCGCTTTTCATCGTCGTTAGCTAAAAAATTAGTTAATATTGCCTGTTTTGATTTCCATCATTTGAAACAAATGATTTGCCCGTTTTACTATTATTTATGAACTTTATTTTTCTGAAATCACTGATTTCGAATTAATGAAATCATTCGAAATCATGAAATCACCTTCCATGACGCTCGAAATCGCCGAGATCATTTTTTCAGGAATCACTGAAATTACCACTGAAATCACACGAAATCGACATCGTGTTGAAATCATGGTGTCACTAAATTCTGGAGTAAATAGCCCCTCGGACCATATGCAGCCAATATCGTTCACTCAACTCTCATTTTCGTTGTTTGATAATTTATCGAAATTTCAGCAAGAATTGAGAGTCTATGATATCAAAATATCTAGCGGAATAGCTAGAGAACGCTATGCAAATGTAATTTTCAGCCGAAATCATGGGCTGAATGCAAGAATTCAGTAGCGAAGTGGTAAAACGGTACAAGTCAATTTTGACTATTGACCAGGTTTCAATGAATATCTCGGAATCTTTTTTATCGAGCCGATTGAGAGCTACAACAAATGTAGTTACGGAAATTTCGCTATCTCTGAATTATTGTTATTCCTCAGGTGATAGGTATAGGCACTCCCTATTGGCCTCAAATTACATCATAAAGGCTCGGAAACCATGGAGTACTGTCTCGTAATTTAAAGAGGTGAAAAAACGTAATTTTTTGTGAGAATTACATATTGATAGTAGAGCCTTCAGATGGAGTGAGAAATTTTTTCGGAAAAATCGCTTCAGCCCCTTTCAAATTTCCGCCAAAGTGCCCGTCATCCCCTCCCCATCTCTCTACCGACGTCAAATGAGAGTTCGCCTTAAAAAACTGTCTGCTCCGAAAGGATCCCGAAAATGACCTAATAGCCGACTGGATATAAAAAGAATAAAAGTGTAACCACTGTATTCCCAACGAGAAGTGCATTGTTTTATCATACATCATCCTTTGTTCCATTTGCACATGTTAAAATATCAATAAAGTGTACGGTATATTATTACTAGAGTATTTGGGGAAAGGTTAAGGGTACAACGGATATGCCTGATGCAGACAAAGGTTACTTTTAAGTTGAATCAATGATTACAGATGAATCTTTTTGTTCGAATCATTCTCTCGATTTAGAACTGTGTCGTGGTGCATCCAGTGCTTTAATCCATTTTTATTTGCCTCGGGAATTGTCTCACGGATGCACTGTCACTCGAGTCTAAAATTTCATTTCACTTGGGTTTTATCATTCAGGCGGTTTTTTCGTTGTTATTATTGTTTATTTCATTTTAACGTGAACCTTTGGTCGTTTAAATAAGAAAACAATAGTTCAGTAGTTAAAAATCGGGTTAAAAGATGAAATATTAATTTTTTATTATTGATTGTTATTGAGGGCAGTCACAATGTCGAAAACAGCGGTATTCAACGGAGACGCCGATGGGTTTTACGATCCAAACTTTACCATGGACATAAACAGAAAAATGAGGGTACCCAAGAGCATAAGGGTCAGTGGTGATTATTCGGACGACGACGCCAGCACCAATGGCTCTGGCACCTGGAGTCAACCGATACAGAATGATAAATTCGATATGCACGTACCTGACAGGATTCTCGTTGTTGGTGAGTTGTTTCTTTTTTTCAAGTTATTAGGGGAGGATGGGGTAAAACGGACCCTTTTGACTTTTTTTTAAATGTTCATAACGTGCTGAATTGTTCATGAAATGGAGTAATTTAATTTTTTAATTGAAAGAACAATGATTCCTCTTTGTGATGAGCTTAGACTGAGGTCAACTGATAAATCTGTTTCTGAGTTATGAATATTTTTTAAAAAGTCAAGAGTGTCCATTTTACCCCACCCTCCCGTCAAATTCCTTTGGGCCATGTTCAAATCAGCAGTAGCAAGGTCTGTGTTGTTGCTGACCTGAACATGGCCCAAAGGAATTTTAATAAATTAAAGACTTAAGGCCGAGAACATCAAATTCATTGTTTTTTGCTTCCAAATGAAAGCCTTATATTTGACCGATTTTTCAATTTTCCAATTTTAATTGTAAATGGCATAGAATGTTATGAAACGTGAAGAAATAACGTTTTTAGGGTCATATCGGTGTATTTGACTGTGACCACTTGGGTTTTTGCTAATTAATTTTTAGAAAATTCAACATAAATACGGTGAAATTTGTAGATTGCAGTCTGAAATTGTGGCTAATTGTAGCTATGATTGAGCTCAACTTTGGCGCGATGTTTCAGCCCGATTGGTCGAGTAGTTCCTGAGATATAACAACTTGTTTTTTTTTCATTCAAACAGTACCGAAAGACTGATTATTTCTCGGATTTTTGAAGAAATTTTATACCAAAAGTTGTAGAGATTTTCTTAAAGCGAAGGACATTGACCTGTGAAAGGGGATAATGAAGATCAATATGGTTTGATTGAAAAATATATAAATCCTTTTCACAGGAAATTTATTTGGAAAGTGATGTTTTCGATCATCCACGTTGATAAATTGATGTAAAGAAATTATCTTGATTTGGAGGAATAGCAAAAAAATTTATTGAATTGTCAAGAGAAGAGATGTTGAAATAATTTAGTCAAACGAAAAACATGATTATAATTACAAGACACGTTACTATTCTTTAAAAGTGTTTATTTAAAAGGGTAGTCCCCTGACTTTGAACATGCACAATATGAACAAATAAAATCCTGAAAATATGAGACTAGTCTCATGCTTTTATACGAGATGGAATGCGTGCGGAGCGAGAATATCAACATGATAGATCGATCAAACGATTCATCGTCCTCATTGCCAATATAATAGAATTCTCCATTCTAATACAATTCACATTAATCACGAGGATGGATCTTCAATTACCCTTTTTATGCTCCATTTTCACACTTTGAAGAAAGTATGTGTGCAAGAATTAATTAGTTCCGGAGTTTCACTCCGTTGTTATTAATAAAAATAAGAGGCCTAAATATTTTCGAATTTACTTTTGTAAATAGTGAATTCAATATCTTTCGACCATTTCTCACAATTTCACCTATTTTTTCGTAGGTCAAGATCAACATGTAGGCCTGAAAGCACCTCCAATCGAAATGGCCTTCGAGAAATCAGTGACACAGCCCATAACTCATGGAATGGTGAGAGTACAGGTTTGTGTGAGCTTGATTGCCTCATTAATCTTAATTATTCTTAGTCTTCACTGATATCAGTGGCTAACATGTAGAATCCAAGTGTTCATTCATGTTCTTCCTCAGTGAGATTTCAGCGAAAAAAAATTCTTCAACCTTGATGATTTTCAGACTCCACCGAGGGTTTTGACTCTGGGGGACCACTTCTTCCCAACTGTTGATGACGGTGACTTGGAGAATTTTGAAAATACCTCTGAACTGAATTCAACTTTTTCAAAACCCACGACTTATGTTAATGAGACACAAATTGCCAGACGTGCTGCGAGGTGAAATTTCTCATCAAATTATTTAATATATCTCATCAGTTTTTTTATTCTCAAAGAAACGAATGTGTGAAAATTTTGAGATAGTTGTTCTGTGCAGAATTATATTGACTATAACATGCTCATCTGCCCTTTTCTCCTGAAATTATTTGGGGTATACCATGCCAAATGATTCAATGGCTGATCCTCATCCTCTTGGAAATTGATCTCGATTTTTTCTACGGTTGGGGGGCTAGAAAAACTATCTCAATGTTTTTTCAGATTTTTTCGACAGCCCATTTCGGAGATATTATTTTTTCTTAGTTTTTTCGTTTTGTTTCAACAACTCGGGTTCTATTCAAAATTACGTCACCTTTTATTCTTCTCATCTTTTTTCATTAACTCTTATAATCAAAACAAATACTTTGAGCAGTCTTACAAGTTGAGTTTCGTCCTGAATCTATTTTATTTTCTAATTTTTCTTATCAAAATTCCGCGAATTTGGTCAGAGCATCCCAAAACGACTTTGATTACGTATCGAAAAAATATTTAGCATACAAGTGTACATTTAAATTCACTTTATACTGTTTGTAATCAAAGTCAATCAACGCCATTTTGGGGTATTTTGACCAAATTCGTGGAATTTCGAGAAGAAAAAATTGAAAATAAAATAGATTTAGGACGAAACCCAACTTGTATGATGGCTCAAAATACTTGTTTTGATTACAAGAGTTGCTGAAAAAAAGAGCAGAAAAGGAAAACGTGACAAAATGTTGCAAATTCAAGCTTTTCAACTTTTTTTTTGAAAATTCGGTATTATAAGCACCTAGGGGTTGAAAAAAAAATACGCAAAATATTCTTATAGATGATAGAAAATTGAAAATTTTGACTTGTCATAGGTTAAAATCGGATTGATTGAACTGGAGTTGTTTTTAAAAAACGAAAAAACACAGAAACAATCATATCTTCGAAATGGGCTGTCGAAAAAATCTGAAAAAAATTGAGGGATAGTTTTTCTAGCCCCCCAATCGTAGAAAAAATCGAGGTCAATTTTTAAGAGGGTAAGGATCAGCCGTTGCCTCATTTGACATGGAGTATCTCATTTATTTGCCAGATCATTACTGAATTCTGCAGTGAGAAAACAAAATCTCTCAAAATTTCACGATAAATTTCAAAAGTTAATCTTCAACTAAACCTTGATTCATCAATCTCTACCACTTCATTCAATTCTGAGATTATCCCGTTTAAGTGTGACTGTACATGAAAATTTTCTAAAAATAACTAAATCATCAAAATATCAATAACTAGTCGTCGATTTAAATTCCTTCTTGCATCCCTTCATCATCCCCATTATCTCTCTCACCGTTTCAATTAACCATTTTTATAAACTCCTTCCATCCAGAATACGGTCACCATAAAGTGGTTAAAAAACTTTAGTGCTCCAAAATTTATTGAACCTTGCCTACGTTTCAAACACTGTGCTTTCTCTTCATCATCAATTTCACACCAATCAAATGAATTAATCATCATAATATTCGTTTGGTTGTCATTTAAAGGGAGCAAACTCCAATATACAGTTCCTTAGACGTCTCTCTTCCCCCAAGCGAAGAGATTCAACATCTTCGTCGCCAGGTCGGCAAACTCAATCGTCGAGTGATGGCAGTCGAATTGGAGATGGTCCAGCGTCAGCAGCGCGATAAAATACTCTACGCCATAACAATCGCCTACTTCTTCTTGAAGGCATTCAATTGGATCAGTAGAAACTAAACTCAGACCCAGAAACGTTCCCCATTCCTTTCCCAAGCGTTTTGGACGCCAAGTACTGTTCCCCGGAGGAAAAGGTCAGTCGAAAGTCGTGAAAAAAAAAACTCGAATTAAGTGTACACAATATTTATTTCATTCGCCATTGGTACAACCGTGTGAATTTAAATTAGAGGCCGTTGTTCTAATTATTCAGATAGGAATTGAAACATCTTTTTCTTGATTAAACTTCGTTTAGAATGAGGAGTGATGACGGATTGAGATGTCCTAGAAGAAAAGACGTAACGAGAAAACAATTAAAGAAGCAAACTCGAGGAAATGATGAAGTAAATGCGATTGAGTACAAGTTGAGAAAATTCATTACGCTTAGGGAACTCATAACACGTATGAAAAAAACGTATAATAAACCCTAGCGCTTTCATGCAAAAATACAATTGAATTTCTATTGAAACCCTATTAGAATTCTATTGGAGTTCTGTTAAAATACTATTAAATAATTTTATTGTTTTTTTGTGCTCATTCCATTAAAGATTATGTAACTTTACAGCATAATTTTTGAAGAGAATATTTTATAGAAAAAAGTAGATCGTGATTTTTTTATAGAAATACTTGGGCATACATTTTTTCGTGTTTTCTGCAATTTTTTTATTTCTCCTACTGAATTCCAAGGGAAACTTGCAGAATTAATGTCCAAGAATTTTTTTCTAAAAAAATTCAAACAGAATGAGTTATATATGAAAATCAACAACTCTAGACTTTTTTCTATAAAAAAAAACTGGAAAAACCCAGCAAAATTGCATAATTTTAATTTTTTTGCACTAATTCAAATTTTTTGACAGAATTCTTACAAACCCTAACAGAATTCTGAGAGATTTCCTATCGAAATTCAATAGAATTGTGTAGAGAAAGCCCTAGGATTTTCTATTGATTGTTTTCCCTGGTAAAATTTTCTAGCAAGCAGCACATCAAATGTGTATCTATTGCAGATGGACCGTTCGTTGTATACATCACTATAATTTTTTGACCCTGTATCTAGTCACGGTTCTGTTGAATTCGAGCATTTGTTCCTTCTAAATGCAACCCAATTACTTTTTACCAGCTTGAAATAGTAAAATCGGTCGATATACGTCTCTTCTCCTAGAACACAACGATTTGTATAACTGTAAAATTACAAATGTGGGGATATGAATGAAATATTTACTTCAACTGTTAGTTCCTATGAACATTGATAAAGTAGACCATGTAGATTTAGTTTGAAAATTTTTTGAAGGAAATGTTGATTAGTCAAGTTATTACTGTTCAAACCATGGATACTTCTCAATACGTTTGACGTGGCTTGTATTATGTACATAACTACTGTGACTATTTCCTCCTCGCCATTTTATAGTTCAACTAACTATCGTCTGTAGCGTATAAGTTTTATTATATGCTCATACAATCCAAGTTCATAACAGACATTATTTGAGAACACAACGGCATCAGTCACGATTTTATGGATTGAAACGGATGGAGTTTGGGTATGTGATCAGATGGCATTCATTTTTTTTCAATTGAACACTCATATAGTTCAACTTGCAATTAACAATATTGAAATCTATTTTTTTCCCAATCGAATTTATGTTAAAAAATCACGAATATTGAAAGAAGGAATAGAATATGATTCTATTTCTTCTGCACGAATTGGAAGTTTTTTTTTCTTTTGTTTTAATTATTCTCACAACACAATCTATTCGAATTTTTTTGACATTGATTTTCTTCTTGATTACGATAATAGTGAGAACAATGATGATGAAATACCAAGTGAAATGGTGTTTATAAATTTTTTGCAAACGTGATTAGGCGTCTGTATGTTACTATATATTTTTATCATATGGTATATAAGGATTGAATAAACGATTCCCTAAATGAAGATATTTTTTCCTTGAAGTTCTCCATTCCTGAAACCATCCATCCTGAATCCATCGGAGTTGATGAGGTATTACCCAAAATGAAGGGGCGAAATAATATTCCATCTCTCGTGAACTAGTGATATTCATAATTTTTTGTTTCCGAATGGAAGCATTGTAATTCTTTGATCTTCACATTCTGTAATTTTGATTGGAAATGATGTAGAATGATCTGAAATGGAAAAATACGAAGTTTGGCGACCATGTCTGTATGTGACAACGTCCACCGCCACCTTCCCGGTAGTCAATTTTCAGAAAATTGAGCAATTAAATGGCTAAAGAATTTCCAAAAAAATTGAAATTTTGTCAGATTATAGGCCCTAATGAGGACTCTGTATAAAATTTCAGCTCAATCGAGCTAATAGTTTTTAAGAAAAAGCGACTCATTTTTAACTCGTTTTCCGCAAATATCTTCAAAACTAGTGGCCCCATTTCGATTGTTTTTTCAAAATATTGGGTTCGATGCCTTCTATCTAAATCAATCGAAACATATATACCCGTTCATACAAGGTTTTCGAGATATTCCCGTTTTTCTGTTGTTTCATAAAAAACTTTGTAAACACTCTAGCTTGTGGAAAATCGAGATATCAACTTGAATTTTGGACAGAATCTTCCTCTCATGATAACAATATTTCGTATTGAAGATGGGTTCAATCGCATCAGTAGTTTCGGAAATATTCGACTCTTCCTGAAAATCTTATACATGGAATATCTTCAAAACTACACCGCCGATTTCACTTTTTCTTTTCTCAAAACATTCGTTTCGCCTTCTATCTAAATCAATCAAAACATATGGGGTATTCCATGTGAACTTACCCAGGTCAAAACCCTCACCATCGCCAATCATATTGCCGATTTTTCCTACGGTTGTATATGGAAAAACATGACTTCTCAAATTTTTTCAGATTTTTTGAGGCATCCTGTGGACAGCGATGTTTTTTTGCAAGTTTTATCTTCAAATGCCTGTAACTTCCGTAAAAATCAACCGATTTGAGTTGTTTTTTACAAAATGTGCGTCTTCGAACACACTTTCCATATAAAAATATGCCAATTTTTTTCAATTCGTTCTTCCATCAATTTCCTCAGAAAAACCTAAAAAAACTTCAAAAAACGAGTCGTTTTCAAAGTTGGACCCTTTTTATATTTTTCAAAAAATTTCAGTGAATATATTGGAGCGAAAAAAAATTTTTCACCAAAGGTCAAAGTGGGCTTCCCATTTTGTGGCCGTCATTTCCAATTTGAATATATGAATCCGGGATGAAAAATTTCAAAAATTTAAAATTATAAAAAGGGTCCAACTTTGAAAACATTGGAATTTTGATAGCACCCATGCAGGTGGCAGTAACCATCTGAAATTTTTGCTGCTAGTTAGTGTTGTGAAGCTATAAACTTTTGTAATATCTCAGATTAGTCGGAAGCCCGCCATCAATCTTTTGATGGCAAAAACAAAATGAGACATCACTCTGTAACATGATCACTGTCACATAGCGCGCTGTCATATGCTCTCTGTCCCCTGTTTGTTTATCATATCGAATCCTATAAACAAGACTCTAAAACATTGGGGACGCAAGCGCTCAAACAATTTTGGATTTTTTTGAACCGAGAGGGAAAAAATTTTTCTTCATATTGACAAAGATTCAATCTACCAACCCAAGTTGCTTATCCACCCAGCAAACAGTATATCGACAATTTGTCGACAAATTGCCGATATCCTGTTAAATTTTAGATGGCACTGGCAAAAATTGTTTTCTGGGCAGGAATAAAATAGAGAATAGACAGCGAATGTAGGCCTTGGTATGACTTCATATCAGACTTGAAATTTCAAATATCTGCATTATCCGCTAGGGTAGTCCAGGTTTTTGCTCGCACGTACGAAAAAATGTGATAAAAAACCTAGCAAATTCGTTAGAAAATTCTATTCTATTTCTATTGAACTTTCCATAAATTTTTGGCCGATTTTCTTAAAAGTTCCACCGCTCATTTGCATTTGTTTTCAATAGAAATGTCACCGACGGCGGTGGCTGTGTGGTTAGAGCGTGGGATTGGCATCAATTGGCATGCGGGAGACCCGGGTTCGATTCCCGGCTGGAGGGGCCTAAATTTGTGACACTCTAAATCTCACGGTTTCATTGTCAAGCGGGAGTCTCGCAAGAGACGACTGTACCTAGGCAGGTTTTTCCCTCAAATGAGTGGGAAGGGAACAAATCGTAAAGACCCGAAAGGGTATACGAAAAGAAAAAATTCAATAAAAATGTCCAATGACAAATTTCTACAGAAAAAATCAACAGAATTCGAGTCATTTCATTAGTTCGAGGCAATTCATTCATAAACATCTTAAAATAATCTTCGACGATTCATTCTCCCCTCGTTTTTTCCCTACTTTGCAGCTCGATTACTAGATGTCGGGCAGTTTTCAGCAGGTGTCGATCCTTGGAATTCATACTTCTCGTTTCTCGCTCTAAACGTCAGTTTCCCGCCAGAACATTACAACCCAATGCGTTCAACCACCGGTGTTATCATACATTTAATTTATTCCTAAACAACGTGAATGTGAAAAGAAAATAACTGATTCGTTGTATGATTACACTCAGAACGATCAAAAGTGCTAGGAGATAAGTAGCTTCTTGGCGTTTGCTGTCTAAATATCCTTGAAAACCCAATCGAAAGTGAGGTTATAAACTCGAGGAAATGGAAAACGATGGTCGTAAGTATAAACTACCCTATTTTAGTATCACAGCACCAAAAACTAATAAATCTAGGGAAGACAGGGGCAAAATGAAACAGTCAACAAACGGCTGTTTGACGCAATTCAAGCAAAACAACATTTTTTATTAACTTTGGTTTATTAACTTTTTTTTATTATTGGGGGTACTGATGAGAATAACAATTTTCCATTCAGTAGAATGGAAAATTATTGAGAAGTTTTGACGGGAGAAGATCTTGTTAATCGATTAATTGAAATGAAAATGAAACAGTAAAATCCTAAGCTCAGGAGGAGACTCATAAGGGATAAAAGGAAAATGTGCACGGAAGAAAAAATTTAATAGAAAAACCTATCGAATTCGTTAGAAAATTCTATTGAATTTCTATTGAACTGTTCTATTAGTTTTTGGCCGATTCTATTGAAATGTTCAATAGAAAATATTCAGTAGAAAAAGTCAATAGAATTCATTTTGTCTGTATAACTTATCCTATTGAGATATTTTCTATAGAATTTTCTCGGCTCAAATTTTCTAAGTTCTTTCGTTTGATTCTCTTGATGAAAAGAAAAGAAAAATAAAATGAAAAAAACTTAGAAAATTTGAGTCGAGCAAATTCTATAGAAAATATATGAAAAGAATAAGTTACATAGAAAAATCGAAATTTGTTGACTTTTTCTATTAAATGGTTTCTATTGAACATGTCAATAGAATCAGCCAAAAACTAATAGAAAGTATAATAGAAATTCAATAGAATTTTCTAACGAATTCGATAGGTTTTTCTATTTAATTTTTTCGTGCGTGTGATGCTGAATTTCAATCGAATGAAAAAAGAAAAGTGTAACCACCCTAATCTAATCAATTAAATTATAGATGAAATATTTCATATTACTTGAAGAGAGAATTGTGGATAAAATTAGTGAAAATTATCAATATTGTCATCTCGATATAAGAAATTTATGAAAAACCTTCGGGAGTTTTGAATGAGGAGAGAACATGGACTCAGTGATGATGGTCCTAGTTTGGCTTCTGGAGAGTCGGGGGACAAGCTGACTAGTGGACGTTGAGATCGAGATCTAACAGGAGAGTGGGCTTCATCTGTGGTGGTAGTCGCTACGCTATAGTATAGGGGAGGGTAGGGTAAAATGGACACTTTTGACTTTTTAAAAAATATTCATAACTCAGAAACAGATTTATCAATTGAGCTCAGTCTAAGCTCATCACAAAGAGTAATCATTGTTTTTCAACTGAAAAATAAAATTATTCCATTTCGTGAACAATTCAACACGTCATGAATATTTCAAAAAAAGTCAAAAGTGTCCGTTTTACCTTACCCTCCCCTAAGGGTTTCGAATGTCAGTGAATTTTTCGCACCGCTTGTTCTTTTCTACCGAATAGAAAATTATTATTCTCGTCAGTACCCCCCAACAATAAAAGAAAATTATAAACAAAAGTTGAAAAAAAACATTTCTTTTGCTTGAATTGCGTCAAAGAGTCGTTTTTCGGCTGTTTCATTTTGCCCCACTCTCTCCTATTTGATTTTATAGAAGTTTTTACTAAATGTCCCCGAATCCTATTAAAATAAGTAATTCCATTTTCTACTCTTGCGCAGAAAACTGAGAGTTTCGGAAAGTCCTGATGAAAATTCCTCTATCTCCATTGGAGTCCGAGAAACCATCCTGAAAATCACTAATAAAAATTCTGAGTACTAAATAAGGGAAAAATATTGAAACTATTCAAACTAATGAAAATATACCATCTAATATAATGAATAATTGACCAAAATCAAATTTAAACGCAATGGACCAATTTTTTTTACTAGAGCTGCTAAGAACCTTGTTGTTGGTGCGACTTTAAATAAATAAAGAAAAACAATTCTGAAACAAGACAAATTGAGGCAAATCCAATACCAATTTTTAATTAATATCCATAAATTCCCATAAGGGCTTTTTCTATAGTTCTCACTTTAGGCTAACGAAACGGTCCTCATAAAAATTTCACTACCTTCCTTGCATTTTGAGACACTTGCAAAAAGCTACCGCCCATCAAAAGTTTTAAGTGAAATAACTTAAATAAAGTCCATGATTAGTTGTCGATAAGTATATGCCTGTCTAACAGGGGCAGCCTAATTCCATAAAGACTTTTTCTTTTCTTCACAAAAAAATGAAAATGTTGCTCTTTGAACATTTCATAACTTATTAAGGGGGACCCAGATGAAATTTGAAAGTCTCCGGTTGATGAAAAGAATCCATGTCTTTTCAACTAGGCGACATTTCACCTACGACATTTCAACTAACGATATTTCAACCACGACATTTTAACTGCTCAACCTTAAATACACATCAGTGAGATGAGATTCCTAAAAAATCTATCTTTAAATCTCTTGAAATGTCAACAATTCAAACAAATTCATACACCTATTTCCGTTATTCGGTGAGGAACTTGAGAGAGGATAATCCTTATGAAATTATATTGTATCAATCTCCGAAGCATTTAAGAAGGGATAATCTACACGAAATACAATTTAATCAATTCAGTTACAGAAAACAGAAAAACGTTCACACGATGCCTTTATTCAGTGTTTTAATTGAGTGGGATTACGTTATCAATTACGCTTTCAACTATTGTCACGTTGTAAATTATTGATGTCTTATAATTGTTAATAGAAAACTAAATTAAATCTTTGTACGATATTAATCATTAATGTATTTGTTCAGTGTTCTAATTGAGTGGGATTACGTTGTCACTTACGCATCAACTATTGTCACGTTGTAAATTATTGATCTCTTATAATTGTTGAAAAAAAAAATTGTATTTTTGTATGATATTAATCGATGTATTAGTTCAATAATTAAACTGAGTTGGATTACATTCTCTGTTAAAAAACAAAGCATAAAAAAAGAGAAATTTCAGCTAATTAAAAAAAAAATTTACTAAAAATCAGTTGATATGTCGTAGTTCAAATTGATCAGTTCAAATGACACAAGTTGAAATATCGAAGTTGAAAATTCCAGTTGGAATGTCGTAGTTAAAATGTCGCCTAATTGAAAAGACGTGCTACCGATGAAAATAATTATAGAGTGACTGTTAATACATCATGGGGTACCTAAGAATTTCGTACTCAACCGATTTTACCCCGTACATCAGGCGGAAACGTCGTTTTCGTATTTTTGGCTTTGAAATTACGCAGGAAAAAATTTTATAGAAAAACCTATCGAATTCGTTAGAAAATTCTATTGAATTTCTATTAAACTTTCTATTAGTTTTTGGCGGATTCTATTGACATGTTCAATAGAAAACATTCAACAGAAAAAGTCAACAGAATTCGATTTTTCTATATAACTTATTCTTTTCATATATTTTCCATAGAATTTGCTCGACTCAAATTTTCTAAGTTTTTTTCATTCTATTTTTCTTTTCTTCTCATCAAGAAAATCAAATAAAAATACTTAGAAAATTTGAGCCGACGAAATTCTACAGAAAATATTTCAATAGAATAAGTTATATAGAAAAATTGAATTCTATTGACTTTTTCTACTGAATATTGAACATTTCAATAGAATCGGCCAAAAGCTAATAGAACAGTTCAATAGAAATTCAATAGAATTTTCTAACGAATTCGATAGGTTTTTCTATTAAATTTTTTCGTCCATGATGCTCCTTGCACCACAATTTTCATCCGATTGAAACTTTTTTTAAAAAATGTTCGTTAGATTCCATAAAATAAAACGAGGTATTGTTTTGATTATCTGAATTAGATCATAGCAAAAGCAATTTTTTTTTCAGTTTACTCATTTGTGTTTTGGAATGTTAACAATTCCGGATGACGATTCCACCTATTCATTCAAGGATGAGATACTCAAAACACGATAGATATATTGTGATACTTGCGCTAAATAAATCGAAAGGGATAAAATTCTAAATTGATTTTTCATCAACCTCGTCATTTTCCAACATTGAGTACCTGTTCTGTACTATTTTAATGTTCAACTACTCAGAATAATAATTTTTATACGGAATGAAAAAAGTAAACACCAGTAAACCGCAAAAATTTAATTGTTCATTGATCAATTGAGATAACCGAAAAAATACCTAGTTTTATTATTCTACAGAATCTAACGAAAAGTTTGAATCGGATGACAATTTCGGTGCGAGGAGCATTTCAAAGCCAAAAACACGAAAGACGACGTTTTTGCCTGACGTACGGGGTAAAATGGGTCACTTGAAGACTTTCTAATTTGAAGCTTAAATTGTTACATCACAGTATTTCGACATTCCCCTTTGCGAATCTTTGGGGTAGTTTAAAGAACTGGTGAAAACTGTGTTTTTTTCGTGAGAAAAGGGGCTTATAACAAAATTGCATGTGCCATCTCCTCTATTAAAAATGGTAGAAAAAATATGATGTATTATCACAAGCTAAGCAACCCCCTTCCCCTTGCGTCACAAATTACAGATCCCCTAATCGTGCGATGTGAGGGGAGGGTGGGTTAAAACTGACACTTTTGACTTTTTTAAAATGTTAATGAGGGGTTGAAATGTTGATAAAATTCAATAATTTTTTTTTCAATACAAAGAACAATTCTTTCCCTTTGTGACGAACCTAAACTGAGCTCAATCGATCAATTTCTTTCTGAGTTATGAATAATTTAAAAAAAGTCTAAAGTTCCCGTTTTACCCCACCCTCCCCTATATTTGAATGTCCCCATTAATGAAAAATTCAGCGTGGAAAATTAACCAACCACAACATGCCCCTCATTTCCCTCACTAATCTTTCTTCATTATTCCTAATCAACCAGCCTCATCGTCCTCGCGCTCCAGACGAGAGAAAAAAGACAAATTCGGTCGTTTCGCTGCCCTCCAAAAACTCAAAAACCTCAAAGGATCGAAGCACAAATACGAAGTAGAAGAGATCGATAACGTCTACGACGTGGTAGACGACAGAGACTTCGCCAAAACCGTCGTAGAACGTCAGCAGGACGACTGGATCGTCGACGATGGTGACGGTGGATACGTCGAGGATGGCAGGGAGATCTTCGACGATGACCTGGACGACGAGAGTATCCAGAAGGCGACGAAGAGCTCTCTGGCGGGTCCCAAAAAGCGAAAACATAATGAAACCAAGACTAAAGGAAATATCCTCAATATGCTCCAGAGCATGCCCTCCAAGAAAACAGAGGCCAAAGCCAACGACGACGACGACATCCTGGGTTCCATGCTAAAAGAGCTAGAAACTAAGAAACCCTCAACCCCAAAATCATCTTCTAACAGATTTGCAGCTCCAAAAACCACCCCCAAACCAATCATCCGAGAGAAAAAGACATTCGAAGAAGAAGAAGACGCAATCTTCGATTTCCCCAAATCCAGGAAGACCAAAAGACTCGAAGAGCCCCAGAGTAAACCCCCGCCAACTCCAAGCGAAGAACCAAAACCACAAAATACCTCACCTACACTTAAAAATGGAAATCAAACGGAAGTAAAATCCACGGAAAAAGAATCCTCACCAGTTTCTGACCCCGAGAAACCGAAGCTATTGGAACCAGAATCAGAAACCAGTATATCCCAAGCAACTGACGAATTGTACTCCCAATACACTGCGGAATTCCCCGACGATGATTTTGAGTGTCCAGACGTGTCCCTGATGCCTTCAGCGACGACCCTCTCCACTCAGCCTCTTGAGTCCACTCAAACCCCCCAGAAAGCCAAGGTGGACATTCCAGATGATGATGACATCGACAATCTCTTGAGCAACGTCGAGATGTTGGATTACTGGACCTTCCAGGCTGACAAGCACAAGGACACGATCAGCACCCAAGACCCATCAGGACAGATCTCAGTGGATCTGTCAACAGTAGTGACGACCAACTCCTCAGGAGACTCGGTTCTCAGATTTTTCTGGCTGGATGCCTCTGAGGATCCCTATCGTCAGCGAGGGGTGGTCAATCTCTTTGGGAAAGTCCACTTGGAGTCCACCAACACCTACGTCTCCTGCTGCGTCACTGTCAAGAACATTCCCCGGAGGATCTACATCCTCCCCAGGGAGACCCTCAGCAACGGAGAACCCAACTCCATGATGAGTGTCTACGAGGAGTTCAACGACTACGCGAGTCGCCAGCGAATCTCCGAGTTCCGGTCCCAAACGGTGAAGAAGAACTACGCCTTCGAGATTGAGGGAATCCCAGTGGAGTCTGAGTACCTGGAGGTCCGCTATGCCGCATCATTCCCTCCGATACCATCAGATTACTCCGGAAAAACGATCGAGCACGTCTTCGGGACCTCTGTGAATGCCTTGGAGCTGTTATTAATTGAGAGGGACATCAAGGGGCCCTGTTGGCTGGAGATAAAGAACCCCATCGTCGTGGAAGGTCTCGCGACCTGGTGCAAGCTCCAGGTGAACTGCCTCAAGATGGAGAACCTGTCTGTTCACAAGGTTGATGATGGGAGAAAGCTCTCTATCCCCCCGATGACAGTCACCACCCTAAACATCAGGACTTCCTTGAATCCAAAACAACAGCAGAACGAAATAGCCATGATTTCGGTGCTGAGTCACAACGACTTTCAGATCGACAAAGCAGCCCCGAAGCCTCCATTCCAGCAGCACTACTGCTTTATAACGCACCCCAGGAATACCTCCTGGCCACTGTACGCAGTGGACAAGCTGAAAAAATTCCAGAGCACGAACGTCATCGTCTGCGAGAGTGAGTCTGAACTACTTGAGAAGTTTCTGGATAAAATCCAGGGGATCGACCCAGACATTTTGATAGGGTATGATTGTGGCTTCCAGTTCGACGTCCTGACACGAAGACTGGTGGCTCTCAAGGTGAAAAACCCGAGTAGAACCAGCAAACTCAAGAGGGATCTTTTACCCTTCATCAAGGGGAAGATAATGCTTCAGCAGATATTCTGTGGACGTCCTATCTGCGATCTCCAGATCTGCGCCAAGGAGGTCAACCTCAAGGTTCGTAACTACGACCTGGACACCCTCTGCTCAACAGTATTGAACAAAAAAGAGAATCACATAAAGGAGATTAAGCCTGGTAACTGTCCGCAATTCTACTCATCTTCTGAGAAGATCCTGGGTCTTGTTAAGATCGTGATGATGGAGACTTCCTACATCCTCAACCTCATCTGCGAGATGAATATCATACCACTGGCATTGCAGATAACTTCAATCGCTGGTAATGTTCTTTCGAGGACTTTGTCAGCAGGGAGGGCTGAGAGGAACGAATTTCTACTGCTTCATGCCTTTTTTAAGAAGGGGTACATCACTCCGGATAAGAGGATATCCAACAGGAAGAATGAGGAGAGCACGAAGAAGAAGGCTGCGTATGCTGGGGGTCTCGTCCTGGAGCCAAAGAAGGGGTTCTACGATAATCTCATTCTCCTCATGGACTTTAATTCCTTGTATCCTAGTATCATTCAGGAGTATAATATGTGCTTCACGACTATTCCAGGGGTTTGTTACACAGAATTGACTGATGCTAATCTTCCTGGGAGGGATGTTCAGACTGGAGTGATACCCACGGAGATCAGGAAACTCGTGGAAAGTCGAAGTGAAGTGAAGAAACTCATGAAGACTCCTAATTTGTCCCCTGAGTTGAAGCTTCAGTACAATATTAGGCAGCTTGCCCTGAAGCTGACTGCCAATTCGATGTATGGATGCCTTGGAGCTGCGCATTGTCGGTTTTATGCTAAACATCTGGCTGCCTTGGTGACGGCCAAAGGGCGCGAGATCCTTCAGAACACCAAGATTCTGGTGGAGAAACTTAATTATGATGTTGTGTATGGGGATACTGACTCCATCATGATTAAAATCAATATTTCGAATTATGATGAGGCGTTTGGGGTCGCCAAGAAGATCAAGCAGGAGGTGAATAAGGCGTATAAGAAGATTGAACTGGATATCGATGGGGTCTTCAGGTACATGCTGTTGTTGAATAAGAAGAAATATGCTGCGGTTTTGATGAGCAAGTCGGCGAGTGGGAAGCTGGAGTACCAGCCTGACTTTAAGGGGCTGGATATTGTCAGGAGGGACTGGTGTCAGCTGGCTTGCGATGTCGGGAAACAGGTCATTGATCACATATTCACGGAGCATGCTATTGAGGAGAAGACAGCAAAGGTGATTATTCAGACATCAATTTATTGTGTTATTAGCGAATTTTGAGTTTTTCTTTAACGTTATTTTACATCGCTTCGACCCGGTTAGGGTATACTGCGATGATGATCCAGACTTTAAATGGTTAGATCGCACCATTCTACCCGGCCGGGATTTGAACTCGGAACCTTTCGCATATGAGGCAACGAACTTACCTACTGCGCCAAGCCACCGGACGAATTTTTAATTTTTAGCTAGATTAATTTATACTATTTTTTTTTTTTTTTTCATTTAATTTCCATTTCCGCCTTCATAAGGTACAACAGTGAATCAAGAGGAATTATGTTTAATTATGTTATGTTAAATTATGTTTTGTGATCAAAACAAACACACAAAACAAAAGTTCGAAATCTCATTCAGGTAATAGAAAAATCTCTCCATGTGATTCCCGAAAATTTTTAAAGCCTATTTTTCCCTTCAAATGGTAAAAGGATATCGGTACTCCTCATTTCTATCGTCGGATTCCAATTATTATTATGATAAGGAAATGAAAAAACAATCAGAAAGGGATAATCGACTAGAAAATGGATTCTTTTCTTCAAGTATTAGAGGGATATCAATATTTCAGCGAGAAGAAATTCAAAACAGACAAAAAAAGTTGGCGGGAAGAACTAAAGAAAATAATTTTCTATGTCTGCGGAAAGTTTTAAAATCGATATACTTTTTCGAATAATAAAAGAATACCCATAAATTCGATTTCTATTCCCGTCTTTCGATAGAATAAATAGAATAAATGACAAAAATTAAGAATTGGAGACCAAAAATTTTGTGCGATTATTATTTTGTGTTATAATGGGAAATTTCTATTGGAGCCTTCTATGGAGTTTTCGATAGAAGTTTCTTCAACTGGAAGTTCACGAAAATTTAAATTTCCCGTTGAAGAAATTTTATGGAGATTTTAGGGATCGAAATATCCTTAAATTCTTCTCCGGAAGAATCACAATTTATTTTATAATGGTCTGATTATAGATTTGAACATAATCAATCTTTTTTTTTTTTTCACTAAATTGGGGAAAAAAAAATGAAAAAAAGGTAACAGATAATCATCATTGTTCGCAGGAGATTTTATAACTTTGAGGGTTGATGGAAATTGTCAAACTTCTGTGAACATTCAGAGTACAGATTAATTTATGTGTCAATATGATGAGTTTGAAAAAATTATTTTCTCCTGAATTGGATAGAAAATTTGTTTTTTGAAAATCTGAATTCCGGGGATATCTTTGAATATCTTACTTCAAATGAATTCAGTAGCGAAGCGATAAAACGGTACAGGTTAATTTTGACTCTTGACCAGTTTTCAATAAATATCTTGGAATCTAAGGGAGATCACGGACGAAAAAATTTAATAGAAAAACCTATCGAGTTCATTAGAAAATTCTATTGAATTTCTATTGAACTGTTCTATTACTTTTTGGCCAATTCTATTAAAATGTTCAATAGAAAATATTCTGTAGAAAAAGTCAATAGAATTCAATTTTTCTATATAACTTATTCTATTGAGATATTTTCTATAGAATTACCTCGGCTCAAATTTTCTAAGTTTTTTCGTTTTATCGTCTTGATGAGAACAAAAGAAAAATAGAATGAAAAAAAATTATAAAATTTGAGTCGAACTAATTCTATAGAAAATGTATGAAAAGAATAAGTTATATAGAAAAATCGAATTCTGATGACTTTTTCTATTGAATGTTTTCTATTGAACATGTCAATAGAATCAGCCAAAAACAAATAGAAAGTTTAATAGAAATTCAATACAATTTTCTAACGAATTCGATAGGTTTTTCTATTAAATTTTTTCGTGCGTGATAGCCAAATTTTTGCTATAACCTTTTTTGTAGAGCCGATTGACAGCTACAACAAATGTAATTACGAAAATTTCGCTATCTCCCTTAAATTCGGAAATATTGCTCAAAAATTCAACTGGGAAATAAGTCGACTTAAACCTTTTTACCACTTCACTACTGAATTAAATCATAGCTTGAAATGTTTGTTTTAATGCCATTAAGTCAAAGTCAAAAATTTTGCATGAATTTCCCTCAAAGTGAGCTTTCCGATGGTTTCTTCAAATGTGGTGTTTCAAATTCATTCAAGTATGTGTAGACGAAATTTCTCTATTAACATTTTATCGAAGGGCTGAGGGGAGAAATAAAACTGTGAAAAAGACGATCGGTTGTATAGAAGAAAAGGGATAATAAGAATAATGATAAGATTCAATTAAGTTGAAAATCTGACAAAATTAGGTAAAAGTATTATTCACTTGTAACACCACAAGAGCTTCAAAATTATCGGGTATTTTCTGATAAGTTCGGTTGCAAACAAATGAAGGAGTCAAGTTTTTCAGGTTAAAAAGCGAAGCACGAGTGATTTTTCCTGAAAAACTTGACTTCGTTTGTATGCAGGGAACCTTGAGGACAATACCCGATTAATTTTGAAGTTCGTGTGGTATTCGGGGGATTATTTTTCCAATCCAAATGTCGGGCAATGTAATTGGACCATAAGACGAAACTCACAATTGAGAAACGAAAATTGTATAATTAACACAACGACACAATTGAATGCAATCTGTCAGTTTGACGAGGGGTTAATTCGACTGCATGACGTTTTGTTTTTTATATAGCAACTACCAGAGAAAATTATCAAAAAATTATCAGTTGAAAACCCTGTACCTTGTACCACGTGATGTCGAATGGGCCAATTATATTGCCCGATATTTGGGTTGGGAAAATAATCAATTTAATAAAATGAAATAAACAATGAATTATACATGATAGAAGGTAATGATATACAAAATAACCATTCGGAAGCATATTGCTAATTTATAAGCAAAAATAACTACACTGTATACAATACAAGAGCAATTTCCCACTTGTAGTTTCTGCTTTTTGAATTTATTTTTCCTCGTTACAGATTCGAGAGTACCTCGAGAAGATCGCAGCGAACTTGAGAAGTCAGAACATCCCCCTGTCATCCCTAGTAATCACCAAACAACTATCAAAAGACCCAAAAGACTATCCCCAGAAGAACCAGCCCCACGTGGCCATAGCCCTGAGACTGAACAAACTAGGCGGGAGGATGTGGAAGGCAGGGGACACTGTGCCCTACATCATCTGCCTGGATGGCACTACCCACTCCCCAATCGAAAGAGCATACCACATCGATGAGTACAAGAAGAGTGAGGACTTGACCCTAGACATTGACTACTACATCATCAATCAGATAATCGCCGTTCTGCAACGCATCTGCACACCAATTCCAGAGTTGGACGGGGGGTTCTTGGCAGAATGTCTTGGAGTTGCTGATAAATACAAACCCGTGGTCAGTTCTTCGTCATATGGAGGGGAGGACTCGAACTATTCGAGCAGTTACACTCCTAAAGTCTCGAGGTTTGAGAATTGCGAGCCTTTTGTCTTCAAGTGTAAGGAGTGTGGGGGAGAGAACGAAGTCAAGAAGTTCTTGAAGACAGTGGGGAAGAGGGAGGTGCCAGCTCTGGGGGCCTGCTCCATGGAGACGTGCAGGTCTGCTCCCTGGAGACATGTCAAAGCTGTGCAGAATCATCTCCAGATGGAGATCAGACGATTCGTGGATAAGTATTACCAGCAGGACCTGCAGTGTGATAACCCAGAGTGCAGTTATACTGGAGATGCTCTGCAGCTGGGGTGCTCTGATGATGTGACCAACAGACCCATTTGTCCAATGTGCCCTGAGGGGGAGCTTGTTAGGGAGTTTACTGAGACTATGTTGTACGAGCAGTTTAGTTTTTATATGGATTGTTTCGATGTTGGGAGGCATGGAAAGGACCTGGAGACACCTCTCACGCCTGAAGTTATTGCGGCCTATGATAGGCTCAAGCAGTTCGTGGAAAAGTACCTCAGAAAGAATGCCTACTCCATTGTAGATCTCAGTAAGGTATTCCTGTGCATCAGGCAGAGCGGCGAGGGGAAGGATGTGAAGAAGAAGAGTTAGAGATCCCAGATGTGCGGGCCATAATGAGTTTTTGTAATTAAGTATAAATACTGTAGAATGTGTTATTGCACTATTTTTATGTCTAATGAAATCCATTTTTTTATGAAAACGACGTGTTGGTTCATTGAATATAATAGGGACACATTTGTTTCCTTCTGTTGAATTCTGGAGTTGAAAAGAACCAGTAACATCAACAGACACAGTGGGGACTTATTACGATTCATAAGAATGAAATAATTCCAACAGAAACTTGTCTACGACACTGATCTCTCATATTAGACACTATGATTGATGGACAATTTAGCATTAAGCGGGATTTTTCTCAATGTCGGGAGGCATGGGGACGGTATTACATTCGTGGGGTATGATAGGCTGAAGTAGAGATGGACGATGTTTTAAAAAATATTGATTATCGAAGAATTGATGTTTTTCAAGAACATCGATGTTGTGAATCGATTTTTCAAGAAAAAACATCGATTATTTAAAAAATCGACGTTTTTCTCATTACACAGGACAAAAAAATTGTTAAAAATAATTTTTTTTCTTTCTCGTTTTTATTGAAAAATATATATTTGAAAAATACGACCCGAGGAACTTACGTTTCAATGATAAGTACTACTGGAGAGTTAAATTTTGAATCTTGAAACAGGATTTTTGATTAAGGCCCAGGTGTACTATCTTTCGAACGTTATCTCGATGTTTTTTTTCATCTTTCGTCATCTGAAATTGTCAATTAAGTCCTGCATCATGTAGAAGTTTTGAAAAATTATGAATGAATAATAAAAAAAAAGTAGAAGAAATTCTCAATTTTTTCAAAAAGCATTTTTAATTTATATACAGAATAAGTTGAATAACAAGAAATTGAAAAATGTATCTGATTTACGGTGACAAATGGCGGCCTGTCACCCAATATCATGCAGGGGGAAGACTGATTTCGTAAATCTTTTCCCACACTGTACAGAGACATTTATTACGGAAAAAGCTCTTTGAGAAAAGTTGTAATATTTTGGAGAATTTTTTAATCACCCTTTTATCACATAAAAATGGCACATGTCATTGTTTGTCACATATCACTGTTTTGAAAATTGAGATACCTAGCTGCCACTTCCCATAAGGAGTTAGTGTTTTGTTATCCACCATGGAAAATGACAGCTAATAGAGAATTTGCCATAGCGAATCCGATATTTGTAATTTCTACTTTTTTCAACTCATTCTGAATCTCAATTAAAAACGCTTTTTGAAAAAGTTCAGAATTTTTTCTATTTTTTTTTAAATCATTTTATCATAATTTTTGGGAATTGGTTACATGATGTACCACTCAATTGACAATTATGGATTACGAAAGAAAAAAAAATCCAGATAACATACAAAAGATAGTACACCCGGGCCTTAATTTTAAAAAAATTATTGAATCCCGTTAGCTGCAATGATTATTAAAAATTTAAATTTAAAAAAATAATAGATGACTGGACTTGTTCACTCATTATTTATAACATACATACTGTAGAAAATAATTTCTCTTGATTGCGGATAAATAATCGTTTTGTTTATTCTCAATCAGTCAACATTATTATTCGACAAAAAAATGAAAAATTTCGTTAGGTTGGTCAGAAACATCGATGTTTGGGCATGAAATAGTATATTATGTCATCAGGCGATAAAAGTATTATTTTTATATCGCCTTCGGCTCGGATTATAAAGCCACATTCGCCAGATAATGCTTTTATCGCCGTGTGACATACGATATTTTACGTCGTTGGGTGCGAAAACGGCGATCTGACCGAGTGAAGCGAGGTTAGAATCGCGGTTTATCGGGCCTAATGACATAAAATCGACGTATTCCATTAATCGACAAACACCGCCCATCCCTAGGCTGATTATTCCAATGTAGATCTTAATTAGGCGTTCCTGTGCATCGGGCAGGGTGAACAGGGGAAGGACGTCAAGAGCAACAGAGATTGGAGATGTTAAGGACATGACGAATTTTTTCAAAGGAATCGGTATTGGAGAATGTGCTCTTCCACTATTGTTTTATATCTGTAATAAAATTGGTTTTTTTAACACCAAGGACTCGCTGATTCATTGAATATGACAGGGACTCATTTGTTTTACGGTATTGTATTGAATTCAGCACTTGGGGAATTCAATATTACGATATTGTATTGAATTCAGTAAAAGGGACTTGTTACATTTCATAAGGAGAAAAATTCGATTTTTTTATGGAAGGGACACGTTAGTTTACTGAATAAGATGAGACAACAAATGTTTTGAAAACTTGTTTTATTGTGGAACTTGACAGTTTATCACAAGAACTGCTTAGGACATTTTTACATGAGCAAACGATAACAAACAATATTTTTGATAATAGGGATTTTTCCAAAATCTTTTCTTAAACGGAAAAATGTTCATTTTTCTTCCCAGAACGAACGAATTAGAATTTTGTACATTTGGTAAACTATGTTTACCACTCAATATTTATTATTATATGAACTTTTGCTCCTTAAACTTCTCAATTCATTAAAAATTTAACCCAGGAAGAGTTGAGGCTTTCACATTCCTTATGATAGTCGAAATTATCATTATCATTACTGAATTAAACTAGTTTATCGTTACGTTAGTACTGATTGTTTTGTTTGTGTTGCAATGCGAGTGTCTAATTATCCAGATAATCGATCAAAGAACATTCCAATTCTCATGAGCTATTAAATTTTCTATTTTGGGAGAATTGATTCATTCTCGTTTACACTGGGCACAGTGTAGAAATTATAAGGTACATTCGGCGTTAGAAAATTTTGTATCGTTACTGGTACTGCATTGAAATAGGTGGCATTTTTATCACGGAAAAATGTGCCGGTCTGTATTGCTGCAGGCGTTTCAGTCTGGAACGTTTCGACAGTCGTGACGGGGACAGTCTCGAGGATTATCGACTGAGTGGAGGTCTCAGTAATTATTTGTGTCACCTGTAAACAATTCAAATTCATAAAGTTCTTTAAACGGGAGCATTCAACTCTAAAATCTATGCAAGCTCTTGAACGAGACAATTTATAGATCAATTTTAGAATTATATCACATTATTTGAGAATTTAATTAATTTATTAAATTCCTTCCTTTCGGGGATATTTCCGAATTAATAAACACAAAGAAGGGAAAATGAACAGAGAATTTATTGCATGTGATTTTGCAATTATCTCAAAATCTATTAGATTTTGAAAAAAAATCAAAAATTTTTGTATGAAATTTTATCTTTTCAATTTTTTCAAACCTGGTTTTTCGGAAATCCGAAATATAACGCAAAAAATAGAAAATTTCATTCTCTAAATTCCATAGATTTCTTCCTTTTCCGGAATATTTCCAAAAAAACAACAAGTAACACATCAAAAGCCAAAAAAACCCACCTACTTTTCAGAATAATTCCTGAAATGAATGGTATATCCAAGTACTTTGGCTATTTTTTCTCCAGTGAAATGCTTTTCTACTTTTTTGTCATTCCGGCCGTAAGGCAGCCGTTGCCATCTCTGCCTACGGCCGTCATGACAAAAAATGTTGTTCGTCATACGGCCAAAAAAAAATTTTCTGACGAATATGATTGCAGCACGAGCCGAAGGCGAGGGTGAGGGGAACCTCATATTCGCCAGAAATTTTTTTTTCGGCCTAATGACGAAATATACTATTGTAGTCTAACATCACAACTTTCATTCCAGCCCGATTTGACCCTAAGTTTCCGGACATTTTACAATATTTTTATCATTTCAACTTTGCAGGTCGAAATTTGGATCTCGATATTGAGCCGTTAGAAAACATTTTAAAAATCCGAAAAAATGGGAAACTTTACATTTAAAGGATGATTGAATTTATAAACAATCAATTTTCCACCATTAAAATTATTTGTTCGAAACGACGGCGGTGGCTGTGTGGTTAGAGTGTGGGATTGGCATGCGGGAGACGCGGGTTCGATTCCCGGCTGAGGGGGCCAAAATTTGTGACACTCTAAATCTCACGGTTTCATTGTCGAGCGGAAGTCTCACAAGAAACGACTGTACCTGGGCAGGTTTTTCCCTCAAAATGAGGTTTTCCTTTGTCCTTCGGTGAATGCGGTACAGGGGGTTAGGGGGTGGGAAGGGAACAAATCGTAAAGACCCGAAAGGGTATACGAGAAGAAAAAAAAATTTATTTGTTCGAAATCCTAACTAATTTGTTCATATTCCGAATTTTACCAGAAATCGATTTCATGCCTAAAAAAATTAGGTTTCTGGAAGTTTAAACAATTTCAATTATTTATTTATAAACGAATGTTTTAAAAGATAATAATTCGGTGCGAAATATAATTTTAACGACGCTGAATAGTCATCATTATTTTTCAAATTTTTCTCACCCAATTTACTTGACAAATTTGATGACTGAATGTGTTTTTTGACCGTTGTAATTATTTCAAAAATCACATGACAACCGGTTGGGCTAAGCGGTTATTTAGAACATTGAATTCTTCAACTTCATTTCTATTTCTAGAAAATGAAGACCACTTAGGCCAACCGAAAACGGTTAAATCTATAGTGTGGTCTCTACCAAACCGTAACATACTTGGAAATCCCTAGAAAATGATGTCTGAAGATAATTTTCGTAGCGCACAAACCCTTTCACAAAAAAACCTATCACAATTATCAAAAAAAAAATTCTCAAACTGAAAAATTACCTCAACATTGGCAGTTCCTTCAGCCGCCTGCCCGCCATTCTCCTCCTGCCCCCCTTGCACCTGGACCTGATTCTGAGGCAGATGTTTCGCATGCGAAGTATTGATCCCGTGTCTCCTCTTCATATGTTTATTATAATTCGGCCAATTAGTGAAATGATGCTGGCACTCCAAACAGCTATAAGGTCTCTCCCCAGTGTGCTGCCTCCTGTGAGTCGTGAGGATGCCCTTGAACCTGAAGCACTTCCCGCAGAATTCGCAAGTAAATGGCATAGCCCCAGTATGTATCCTGTGATGCTCCCTCAAAGTTCCCTTCTCCCTAAAAGTCCTCCCACAGACAGCGCACTGATGGGGTTTATCACCAGTATGAACAGTCTCATGTTTCTTCAGCTGAAGGGGAGTCTTGAAAGCCTTCGAACACTGCGAACAACTATAAGGTTTATCAACAGAATGCGTCAGGAAATGTGCCTCGAGGTTTCCCTTCTGAATAAAACTCTTGCCACATTGATCGCACGTGAAGTTCCTCACCCCAGAGTGAATCCTCTTATGAGTAACCAGATTGGGTTTAGTGGAGAATCTCTTCCCACACTGATCGCAGGGAAACCGATTCTTCATGTTCTCAGGGAGATGGCACCTGCCATGAATGTAAAGTGCACTCTGCTGTCGAAAGCTCTTGCCACACGTCTGACAAATGTGCGGCCTTTCGTCACTGTGGATAGCTCTATGTGACTCCAGCACCTTTTTATGAACGAAAGACTTGCCGCAGTCTTCGCAGCTGAATTTTGACTTGTTCTTGTGTCTCTTCACGTGGCTCAAGAATGCAGGGTACTTCTCGAAGATCTTGCAGCACTGGACACACATGTACTTGGGCCTCTGAATGTGAACGACATTGTGGTGGTTCTCCAGGGACTCCAAAGAGGGTAATTTGTCGTTGCAATCTGTGCACAACCAGGGATATCTGTCCAGTGTTCTTCCTCGTTTCTTTGCTTTTGGGTAGTCATCTATCCTGGATTCTATCATCTCTTTGTCTGATTCTGTTCCAGTCATGTAGTTGTCTGGAATCTTTATTTCCTCGGTCTCGGAGCCTGAGCGGATCGGACTCGATGGCTTCCTCACTCGTCTTCTCACCTGTTTGATGCTCTGCTTGGGTGAGGTTTTGTTTTCTCCCGGGGGTTCCACTTCCTCGGGTGGCTCGAGGGGGGTGTACTTGTGGTCAATTTCGGGGATCTCATTCTGCTCGTTCTCGTCAGTCAGGTAGTCAGGGTCTAACTCGTCTCCTGGGATGTAGTCGTCACCGAGGTCAGCGGTCTCGTCTTCAGTTTTGTTCGAATACTCGACGATCTTCTCCACGTGGTCGATGTTGGGGTCGGAGGAGTCCGGCAGGGGCTTGATGTCGATAAAGAGGTGGCGGAGGGAGATCTGCGCCTGGTGAGTTCTCTCGTAGAAGAGGGTGCATTGGTCCAGGAGGTCGTAACAGTCGATGCAGATGGAGAGGGGTAGGTTGTCGGACGTGACGACCTGGAACACATTGGGGAGTTGAGGAATTAGTAGATTGTAAAATCATCAGGAACATTTGAGTATATCAGCAGCGAAGCGGTGAAACGGTTCAAGTCGGTTTTGACTATTGGCCGGTTTTCAATGAATATCTCGAAATCTAAGGGAGATGGCACAATTTTTGTTATTACCATTAATGTTGCGCCTAATTCGCTCTACTAAAAAGGACATGACATGATATGATATTCTTCGAAAACTCAACTAAGGGCTAAGCAGGGATAGCCGTGTCCATCAGTTATAATTACTGTTAAATTATTAAATAGTCAATTAGTTAATATCACTTTTAAATTTTAATTATTGAAGTAATCATCAATTATCATCATCAAGGATCATCGGGAGTTTGTACATGCCTTAAACTTTCTTCTAGATCCTTAAATTCGCCTAAATTGAATCTGCCCGTTCTGAATTTTTTTCAAGTTTCAGATTCATTGAAGAAACTTTGATTCAAAGCACAAAAAAGAATTGAGTATTTTTGTTCTTTTCCACAATCCCATGAGCTCAACTTACGCAATCAAAAATCATAGAATTTAATATTGCAAGTGATATCACAATTTAGAATTAAATGCTAGAATTTCAAAGTTCTAAAGAGCTTAAACAATTACAACTTTTTTCGGATTCTTCCCGAATTCTATTGAATTGATGAATATTATATAACTGATTATTATAATTAGTAATATTATTTTGTCACTAGCGAGGAGATTACTTTTCCCCGGATTAATCATTACTCTTGAAATAAATCCATGAAATGGTTGTATCATTGAGCGAGTTCGAACACTGAATGGTTATGCTATATTAAACTCTTAAACTATCTAGTATGGGTTTTTTCTCAAAATAAGATTTAAAAAGTAAAAGTTAATCATTAAAATTCCGAAATAATTTAAGTTTGAAATTTTCACAACCCTAGGAACACTGGTTTCTAACATGTAATTTCCTAGAATCCAGAAATTTTGTCTAATCTCTAGAAATAAATTGTCTGAAATGAGGGTCAGAAAATAATAGCTCTGACGCCCGTGTCGTTCTTGCCTTTTTACCTGACCCTCATTTTCCGAGCCTTTTTCTGCCAAATGTCTTCTCACTGTCATTCTAACCCTCATTTTTGTCCTTTCATCCTGACCCTTATCTCCTGATCCTCATCTCCTGACTCATAACTAGACACTTAAAGTAATTTCGAGGCCAAATATTTGTCTAATGTAAAGAGATTACGTTTTTGAAGATTACTTCATTCGCGAGAAAAGAGCCTTTTTTTCTCTTCTTTTTCAGAATTGAAATTTTATGAAAACTGGAAAGGAAAAATGGAATTGATTTCTGAACAATATTCCGAAATTCAATCCAAAAATTGATGGAAAGAATAATTGATCATTGGTTCTAGAAATTTTTTCCTAAAAACAATAAAAAAATACGCTTATTTTTGTCATCTAACGGATAATGCATGTTACGAACAGGAGTTTCTTAAATGGGTTCTCTTTCCAACTTTCGAAATTTTTTTTTGACACTGCTGCTACCTTCACCTCGTCCCGAAAAGTGCCTTTTCGTTTACTCGTCTTAAGTCTTTTCGCTTACTTGTAAACGAAAACGGCACAGTTCGGCCACTCGCTGAATGTAACATCACTATCAAAAATATTGTTCGACACATGTGAGACGGCAATTTTCACGAGTGTGAAGTTGGCGGCCCGAGACGAAGTCGAGGCTCACCTGTATTGAAATATACTCTTCCGCCACGGCGAGCGCAAAGTGCACATTTCTGACTAGAAGCCTACGCCATACCAGAAAATAACGTCCTGACCACGGGAGGTAGGGAATATACTATTCTCTGTGTACTTGAATTTCAGAAAATTTCGAACAATACTTCAAAATTCGACACACTTCATCCGTGAACTTCAATTATGCACTTCAATTATGGGCTTGTGAAATTTGTGGATTTTCAAAAACTTCGGTTCCATACAGAGAATTTATAGAAAGTAATTTTTCGCCCGTAGAAGACATTTTCACCCCGCAGTGTAAGCTACACCGACGAGTCAGCCATAGATTAGCAGTACACTGTTAGAAATTTGTAGAAATTTCATAGAAAATATAATAGAAAATCTCATGAGAGTGCACTGAGAAAAAAAAATTAGTTTTGCCAAGTATATTTCCTAACTACATGAAAATTTATACCTGTCTTATGCAGATATTTACATGCATTTACTTGTGGTAAGTAAATATACTTGTCGAAAGCAATTTTTTTTCTCAGCATGACATTGAATCGAATTTATGGAAAAAATGGTTATGAAATGTCAAGTGTTCACGGAAGAATTCACGGAAATTTATGAGTTTTTAGTGGGAGTGAGATCGGAATCTCACAACTTGATTGAATTTTCAGTGAAACATGAATATTCTGAAACAAAATGACCTTAATTTTTAATTTTCCCCTGAATTTTCTAGATTTTTCTGAAGTTTTACAGAATAATTGAACTGAAAAATGAAGTATTTTATTGATTTCCAGATCATTTGAACAGAAAATCAATGGAATATTTGATTTTTCAATGACAAGATTTCCTGATATTTCAGTGGAATTTGACCACGATAAAAATATCTGGAATTTGGCACGGAAAATTCAGACGAAAGTTTTTAACAGTAACGACTTGTACATTACACGTACTTCACCCCTATTTGGTGCGAATAGTCACACCGTTTTAAAATAAGGAAGTTGAAACCCTTCTTTACTACATTGCGCAATGACTGAAATTATTTGGTTCATAAGAATGAATGATTAAAGGAGAAAATAAATCAAAATTTATTTCCGTCAGAAGGGGGTTTATTACCTCTTGATGAGGAAACATCCAGAGAGCCTACATTGAAAATTTATCTAGCCACAAATCACTCGTCTACGTAATGGACGGATAACGAGCAAAAATTAACTGAAGTTACAGGATTAGTTTATCATTGGAAGAGACAATAATATGCATTGAATAATCATGCTGGATAAATTGATCCCAATTCAATTCAAATTCATTCATTTCACTACAGATGGGACTTTATATAACTTTTCACATCTGGTGACGTCAGAGGATATCGTTAGGTAGGATTTTGGAGTAGGTAGGAGAGGAACAAAGATAATTCTCAGCTATAATACCCCAAGACCTTCAAAATTATCGGATATTTCCCGAAGGTTTTGTTGCATAGGAACGAGAGGGATGTTTTGCAAATTAAAATCCCGAGTGTGCAACGCGATGGATTTTACTGCAGAACTGATCCCTCTCGTTGCTATGCAGGAAAACTTGAGGGAAATATCCGATAAATTTTGAAGATCGAGGGTCATTCGGAGGACAATTTCTTCAATTCTGATTTTGGCCGATTAAGGTGCGGTGTTGGGGGTTACGGGACAAATTTCACCAAAAAGATGAGGAATATCTGTCAAATTCGTAGAAAACAATTAATAGGCTATAGGGAAATTTATCATAAAAAAGTGGTTCTTTACACACTAATAACACAATATACTATTATTTAATCGTGAAATTCGTCCTGACCCGGTGATGAATCCGTTCTTGATTTTTCAGGGTATTTTTCGTGGTGTGAATGAATTCAGTACCGAAACGGTAAACCGGGTTAAGTAGATTTCGACTATTAGCCAGTTTGTGACGAATATCTCGGAATCTAAAAGAGATAGAAAATTTTTTGTCATGTGCTTTTTTGTAGAGCCAATTAAGAGTTTTAAACAAGGTCATGAGAAGAATTTTGCTATCTCCTTTAGATTCGGAGATATTCATCATTCCCCTCAAGCTAGATTTTTAGGAATCACTTTTGATGAGAGGCTGTCGTTTAAACCCCACTTGGCTATAACCCTTCGATCCTCACTAAAATCCCTCAACATTATTAAATTCTTGAGAGGCACCTGGTGGGGTGCTCACCCAGAAACTCTCCTCATCATTTATAAATCCTTCGTCCGGTCAATCATCGACTATAGCTCGTTCATCTCATTCCCAGTTCATAAACAGGATGCCATGAAACTTGAACGACTTCAGTTCGCGGCGATTCGATTTAGTCTAGGATACAGAATATCCACCCCAACTAATATCCTCCTAGCCGAAAGTAGACTCCCTCTTATTGAGAAACGGGCGATATTCCTGTGTAAAAATTTTCTCATTAAGGCTATTTCTAATCAGGGCTCACAGGTCTCGTCGACTATTAGAGATATGATCGATCGAAATGAATTCATCCCTAGAGCTAAAGATCGCATGATCAACAAGTGTATCTTAGAAACCACTCCATTGATTCCCGAACTGCACTCAGATAACCATTTTGGCATGTATTTATGTAATTACGAGACAATTTTGTCAACCCCCACGGATGAAAACGACTCGACTGAAATAGAGCCAAATATTCAGAATCGAATCAATAACGCGGTGAAAATTTATACCGATGGAAGCAAGAGAGCTGATGGATTCTCCGTTGGCTCTGCTTGTTTCTGTCCAGAATTTGGACTATCCAGGAGTCTCAGTATTAATCCCCTGGCCTCTGTATACACGGCGGAATGTTTGGCCATCAACGAGGCTATCAGAATTGCTGTAAACTCTCCATTCAAAGATTATAAAATTGTCACTGACTCCCTCAGTGCCCTCACTTCCCTGTCCAGACCTAGTCAAACCATAAGGGAAAATTATTTGATATTGGAAGCTAAAAAAAACTGCGAATTATTCAATCAAAGAAATGATGATCAGCATTTTATTAAATTTGAATGGGTTCCATCCCACACAGGAATTGAGGGCAATGAGGAAGCAGATCGGATAGCCGGGCAAGCTACGGAGACTCCACCAAATATATTCTTTCCAGTTCCATTTACGGACTATCGAGAAAACTTTAGGATAGAATCCCTAGATTCCACTATAGATATTTGTATTGAAGAGGGGCGAGATGACAATGAAAGAGGCAAAGGGAAACTATATTTTAAAGATTTTTTTAAAAAAGGTCGTAAATCCTGGTTTCACAACCAAAAACTCTCTCGACGCACAATTGTGTGGATTAATCGAGCCAGGGCCAATCATTATCATCTCGCCGCCTCCCTTAAGAGAAAAAATTTCATTGACTCTGCGGAATGTGAATGTCGAAATCCATGTGAAGACCTTGAGCATGTTTTATGAGAATGCCCACGATATGCTCAAGCTCGAGAAAACATGTTCAACTCTCTCCAGATAAATAATTTCTTCCCTCCATACTCTATCCGAACGATTCTCAAGGAAATTGATCTCAAATGTATCGAAATCGTCTCAAATTTTCTCGACGTCTGCAAACTAAAAATATAAACTTTCTGAATCATAACACAAAGATTAATGTAAGTACCTAGTGTTACACTCTACGTAATGACGTATATATATATATTATTCTTCCTTTTTTTTTAATGCTGTATAAACATGTAAAGTTTTGAGCAAATAAATATAACAAAAAAAAAAAGATATTCATCAAAAACTGACCAAAAGTCAAAACCGACTTAACGCGGTTCGCTACTACATTATTTATTGAAAGTGCTTGAAGTTCTTTTGTGTATTTTTGATGTTCAATTCTGCGGATTGTAAAGTGACAAGTTTTGAATAATGAGAGATTAATGAGCGACCTGTTCTCCACTCTGCTACCGAATTAAATGAGGTGGAAGTGTTGATCTATGCTCGGACACATTACATCATTCGAATTCATTTCCCATTTTTTCTAGGCTTTTTTAGGATGAGTTCATCATTCATTAAAATGTCAGGGCTTGGAGAAAGTGAAGTATGATGAATATCTTTTTATTTCTTTAACTCTTCAATCATTGTTTTTGGAAAAGGGAAATCGTTTGAATTTTGATAGATGGTAATAGTGAGTAAGTTATATCGTCACTTAATTCAATGAACTCGAATCATCTCATCGCGTCGATTCATCTTTCCGAGGTAAGTTACATGACTCAAATTAACTTCTAATTTGTATGAAGACTTTCTAGCGTAAGCATATATTCATTCAAATTTTGAAATTTCAAGGGAATGACTGTCACTTGTTTGTTTATCTGATGTTTATCAGTTGCTTTTTTGAAACGGTAATTATTCAAATTAGTTGAAATATTAGACCGTTTGGAGCGCGAGATACGCGGTGGATGCGGGTTCGTTCCCACCACCGAGCGTTTAAGTTTGTAACGCTCCAATTTTCAGTTTCATTGTCATTCTTTACGCCCACGACAGTCCTGTAAAATTGTTAGGTCGCGTCGAGAATGTCAGTGGGTTTTATGTTTTTTGGGTCGCTGATCACGAATCTGTCGGTTACTTTTCCGAAAAATTGAACCTTCAATTGTTATTAACAATTTTAATTGCTTAAAAGGCTTTATCTGGCAAACTATGACAGATATCGGAAAAATGGTCAAATAAAAGATGTTTGATATGTAAAAATACTCATTTTTTGTTTTATGCCTTTTCCCCCTAGCTATGATAGATACGGAGTTATCGGGGGGTGGCAGCGGAGCGGGCGCCGCGTGAGTACTCGCGCAGGGTGTTGGCGTGCTCCGATGCGTTTATCGGGACACTTGATGCAGATAGAGAAAAATAGTTAAAATGAAAAATATTTGCAATCAAAGTTCCCATATAATTGATTTATTGACATTTTTTCCTACAACCAGTAGTTGATGAGATATTGACGCCATCATGCTGCGTGATCGGGCAAATTACCTAGAACGCTTTTGTTTACTGTTGTTTAACGAGTAAACAATTGGAGATACAGGAAAAAATGTCGCATAATAGATGATCCCCCATAAAAAATACACACTTTTGATATTTTGGTCTTTTGCCTAATCTTCATTATTTACGGAGATAGAGCCCGTTGTAATACTGATAGTCGTTGGCCAACACAGGTTTTTCCCTTAAGAAGTTGACGTCACTTGCTTGTTTACCTAATGTTCAACAGTTGGATTTTTGTACTCGTAATTGTTCACAATAATTAAATTATTTATGCCTTTATTTGGGAATGAGACTCCAGCAATCGAATGTACTCTCAAATTTCTATAGATTCTTCCTGATTTGAATTGTAATGCCCATTGTTATTTTGTTACTCGTTTGTCTTTTTAAATCTTTATTAATGAGTTTTTGATATGGCTATATTCATTGTTATGACTCCGGATAATAATGAATAATAATGAATTATTTCAGCGTCAAGTAAATACCTATCGTAATCTAAGGGTTGGAAGCAAGTGATCGATACTCTTTCATTACTTTCATTCATGATTTTTTGAAAGGAAGATCGTTCAATTTGCGAAAGAGAGGAATGACATCGTTTGTTTTCTTTCAATTTCAATTAATTTTTTCCAGTGTAAATACATATTGATTGTAATTTTAAAATTAAAAGGAAGTTGACATCACTTGTTTTTTTACTTGATGTTCAACAGTTGGGTTTTTGGACTCGTAATTGTTCAAAATAATAAAAATATTGACGCCTTTATTTAGGGATGAGACTCCAGTAATCGAATGTACTCTCAAATTTCTACAATTCTTCCTGATTTGAATTCAATGCCCATTGTAAGTGTTATTTTGCTACTCTTTTGTTTTTTTAAATGTTTATTAATGAGTTTTTGATATGGCAATTATTTAAATTGTGATACATGGCACTAGCTGGACTGAATGATTTTAACAAGGTATGAATCCATCATTCAAAAATATTCATTGATATGGCTTCCGGATAATAATTAATTATTTCAATGTGAATGCCTATCGTAATCTAAGGGTTGAAAGCAAGTGATCGATGCTCTTTCATTACTTTGATTCATGATTTTTTGAAAGGAAAATCGTTTCATTTGCGAAAGAGGAATCACATCGTTTGTTTTTTTTTTTCAATTTCTATGAATTTTTTTAGTGTAAATACATATTCATTGTGACTTTAAAATTAAAAGAAAGTTGATGTCATTTGCTTGTTTACCTAATGTTCAACAGTTGTGTTTTTGGTATTGTAATTGTTCAAATTAGTTGAAGTATTACGCTTTCATTTGAGAATGAGATTCCATCAATCGAATGCCTCTAAAATTTCTATAAATTCTTCCTAACTTGAATTGAATACCCATTGTAGGTGTTATTCTGCCACTCGTTTGTTTTTTTATATGTTTATTAACCAGTTTTTGATATGGCAATTATTTGAATTGTGACCGATGGCACTAGCTGAACTGGATTATTACCAATCCATCATTCAATAATATTATTCATTCTTATGGTTTCCGACTAATAACGAATAATATTGAATTATTTCAGCGTGAAGTAAATACCTATCGAAATATAGGGGTTGAAAGCAAATGATCGATGTTCTTTCATTTCTTTGATTCATGATTTTTTGAAAGGAAAATTGTTCAATTTGCGAAAGAGGCCAATCATATCTTTTTTTTTTTTTTTCAATTTCTATGAATTTTTTCCAGTGTAAATACATATTGATTGTAATTTTGAAATTAAAAGGAACTTGACGTCACTTGTTTGTTTACCTGATGTTCAACAGTTGGGTTTTTTGAATTGTAATTGTTCAAATTAGTTGAAATATCATGCCTTTATTTGAGAATGAGACTCCATCAATCGAATGTTCTCTCAAATTTCTACAAATTCTTCCTGATTTGAATTCCCTATTCACTGTAACTACTATTGTGCTAGTCTTTTGTTTTTTAAATGTTTAATGAAGGAGTTTTTGACGTGGCAATTATTTAAATTGTGAGGCATGGTACAGGCTGGATTAAATAAATTGAGTAAATTATGAATCCCTCATTCAAAAATAGAATTACATCAATTCAACTTATTCTCAATTTTCCACAATTTTCTCCAGAGTAAAATAAGTATCTATCGAAATTGTAAAGTTGGAAGCAAGTGACTGATGTTCTCTCCTTCCTTCGAACCCTCATCAGTGATTTGTTGAAATGCCAATTGTTTAAATCACGAGAAGTGATACTGACTCACCTGTAAATGAAGAAACCTGATAATTTTCTCTTCAATCGCCAGTCTGAGCCCCTCAGGATCATAAATACCAATGACTTTGCTCTTGGATTCCGCACACAGCCGGCATAACTCTATGTCTGCCATGGTTACACCCTTACGAAACTGTCAATGTCTGATTTAATCCGTCATTATAGCTGATAGGTCCTTAACTACTTGATGAACACGTCTAGAGTGATGAACCTGGGGTTTTAATTTATAAACAATGGGATGGGAGAAACGAGGGACGCCAAACGCGAACGGACATGTTCAACTGTTTTGTGGGGGCATTTTCATGGCGAACGACGCACCCAAGCGCGGGATTTCGAATGGATTATTCACATCGTCATGAGCATGAGCTGCGAAAAAGCTGTAAAATTTATCCAAAATCCAAAACTGAAATAAATGTAAGGACAGGGGAATATTTATCAAATTGTTCTTTCAATTTCAATAACTTCGTCCAATTGATAGGGAAAAACTGATAATTAACCCTCTACGGGTACATTGGGTTTACTCATAATCCCACCGCATTTTCTCTCGGTTGTCATTCCTACATAAGTGTACCCCGCCATATTGATGCACCACAGTTATTTTGTTCAGATGTTTCTGAGTACTATTGGCCTCAGTTCTGCATTGGGTATAGATTGGGGCACTCTTAACCCTAGTCTGGGGAGCGATTTTGCTCGTTTTATGTCGACATAAAATCATAAATTTCAACCAATGACAGTCCTGGATTCGGAATACTCAACTAGGATTGGTTGAAATTTATGATTTTATGTCGACATAAAATGAGCAAAATCGCTCCAACGTTGCCGAATCCACTCTACACTTCCCGGGCGCGTTTAGCGAGTTCCCAGCAACGTCGTGCAACAGGCAATTTCATTTAACACGGGAAAAAATTGTTCACCTGTTGGAAATAATTTTTTTTTCTCCCAGAATTAAGGATACAATAAAAAAAAATATTAGAATTTTCCAGATACTTCAATTGACGAATTCAATTTTTCTCAAATTTTTCCGGTCAACCAGTCGATGGTAAGGTGAATAAAACGACGTGTTGTGGCAATTCCCTCGCATGGTGACCAGTCTAGGGTTAAACTAATTAACAGCGAAGATTTTAGTGAAACCCACTAAGGAGCTGCGTCCCCTGTTCGCTCCGCTCGCCAATTCCCATATGACCTCCATGATCCTTATTCTGACCATTGTGACCCTTAATCTGACCCTTAATTTTGGAGTCGAGAGAGATCGATTTGGATTTTTACAATATCGATATATATATATATATATATATATATATATATATATATATATAT